GATGATTTTTCAGGCTTAGAAAGTCGTCTTGTACCCCGGAATATACGGTACATATATATGATCGCTTTAGCTTCTCTACAAAGTCTACAAAGTACACAACCATGTTTAAATCAAGCATATATTCAAAATATAAAGTACACATTGACTTATCTTTGCAAGGAAATCAAGACAGTAATGCATGTACGCATAGATTATTCTTTGTAAGTCATTGTATAGAGTAGGAATCTAAACTGCTATTGTCCCCCACTACCATACACACAAAATAGAAGAAACCGATCTGTTTACACATACCCACCAACTATCTCAGTTTGCTGTTAATCCTCTGTCATCCTACTTTTTCTGCATTAGACCAGGTGTCTGTTGTTACCAATGGACTATAGATGTGGGTGAACAAATAGAAACTTAATCCAGACAAAACAGATGTTCCTGGTCAGTCCTGGGTGCAGGCTATTTTAAAAACTATCTTATTATACAAGACAGCGCAAACTTTATAGTTCTGTTGGAGAGGATGTTTTCCTCATGCCCTTCACAGATACATTTGGTGAGGACATGCGGTCCTCCATGGCTGCTTCCAAGTTGTGCAGTTCTCTTCCACTGGTTGGCCCCCTCCCTGCTCTCTTTCTGCCAGCAGACCAAATATGTTTTTATTCAAACAGGAAGTGAATTTTTATTGCAGAGCATCTGTTTACGAATTTTACAATAAACATTTTAAATTGTTTTGGAAGATGGCTTGTGTCCCACTTTGGGGGAAAGGCAGCATATAAATCAAATCCATTCAATAGTATATGTGAGAGCCAATGTACTTTTGAACTTTGACTGGATCTACTCTTCCATATAATACAGTTTGGAAGTGCACTACATGGCCAACATAGGCCCTTATAATGCAGTTAACTGCACTGAACAGTATTATATGGGCCCCTTCCACACAGCGTAAAAAAATCCCACATTATCTGCTTTGAACTTGAATATATAGTAGTGTGGACTCAGATAACCCAATTCAAAGCAGATAGTGTGGGACTTTCTGCCTTGATATTCTGGAGGCCCTTCCAGATTCCCACTATCTGATCCAGGTTTTCTGCTTTAAACTGGATTATATGAGTCTGCACTACCAGATAATCTGGGGTAATAAGAAAACCTGGGATTAGATCCTGGGATATAGGGCCTGTCTGGAATGGTCCTGGGGGCCCTTCCACACAGTCCTATATCCCAGAATATCAAGACAGAAAATCCCACATTGTCTGTGTGTGGACTCAAATAACCCAGGGCCCTTCTACACAGCCCTATATCCCAGAATATCAAGGCAGAAGATCCCACAATATCTGTTTTTAACTGGGTTATCTGAGTCCACCCTCAGATAATGTGGGATTTTCTGCTTTGAAATTCTGGGATATAGAGCTGTGTGGAAGTGGCCCCAGTTCAAAGGAGATATTGTGGGATTTTCTACCTTGATATTCTGGGATATAGAGCTTTGTGGAAGGGCCCTCTGGATCTGAATTCCCACTCAGCCATAGAAACTGGTGGATGACCTTGCTCAAGCCACATTCCACCTCAGAGTAAAACAAAGGAAAAAACTCATTCGGAACAAATCTTGCCACAGATATCGGGGATAAGCTCACCCAACAAAAGCAGTATGTATGTGACGTATTCCTAATCTCATATTAGAAATTATATTTTAAAATGTTTAAGTGTTTTTAATCATGCTTTTCAAAAAATATATTGATATTTAATTCTTTTCCATTTTTGTTTTAGTTTAATCTTTTAAAAGTTATTGTGATTTTTTGTAAATTTCACTTGGGAGACAGGCAGGATATAAATTAAATAAACAAAGAAAACAATCAATAGGTTTTGCCACCTTGGCCAGACTTAGTTGCTTGGGCTTTCTGGGTTCCAGTTGTCATCTGTGAAATAATGGAAGGTATGTTTACATTTTGAGAACACAATCCTGAAAATGCTTTCACAACCGTACTTCATGTAAACAAATATGGAGAAAGCATATTCATCTCTGTTTTGTGTAAATAGACACAAGACTGCATTCTCTGAATATATGTGTATCTTTGTTGATTCTATAATATGGAAAATAATCCCAAAAGTCTTAACAGAGCATCTACCTCTGATTATATAAGAAAAAGATCTATGAGTAACACGTTTTAACAGATATAAATTTTGACCTTATTTCTCATCTGTTTGCAAAACTAAATCAAATGTTATTCTGTATTGTGACAATGTTGCAACTATACATTTTGATAATGTTTCATATAATTTCTAATAGTATTATCTCATAAGTCATTGAAATTGCTTTTTAAAATATAGGTGGTCATTCTGAAAACTGCTTAGACATTATTAAAGTTTGCTATTTAAATTCTTCCTAAAATAGAAATCTTTTTCATATCAGATTTCTGCAGCACTAAAGGAAGGCCAAGTAAGTCCAACAGAGCTCTGTCAGAAGTGTCTCTCCCTCATAAAAGCCACCAGATTCCTTAATGCGTACATCACTGTAGCAGAAGAGACAGCATTAAAGCAGGCTGAAGCATCGGAAAAGAGGTACAAGAAAGGTACATTAATTCCCCCAAGTGATTGCTTTTCTCTTAAAAAAAAATAAAACAACATTTTTCATGTTTACATTATCCACTAAGACATTTTCTCTGTGTTATAAAATTATATGTACAATTATGTTTGGGTCCCAGGTTTTATTTTAATTTCTGTTTGTACCTGCATTATTTTCCTGCAGTTATCATTGTGAAGATCACAGATGCAGATGTAGTGATTTTTTTGAGCTGTAATGCCTTATCTTTAGCACTTACATGCTAAAACAAGAAATCTTGAGTTCAGGAGCATATTCACAGACAATGCAATTTCAGTGAGTTCTTGGCATCTGCTAGGGATTGGTTCCAGTACCTTCATAAATAATAAAATCTATGGATGCTTAAGTCCCATTACATATAATTCCACAGTAATATTGTGCAAAATGACAAAATCATGGTTTTGATTTTTGGAGGGGGGGGGGAGGAAAGAATATTTTCAAGCCTTGGATGGTTGAATCTGAGGTTATGAAGGACTGGCTGAATAGCATTGTGATTCCCCTTTAATAGCCACTTTAATAGTGTAATCCTGGGTTTGGCAATTTAGGGAGACACATTTAGCTCAGCCAGAGCAGTCTAGCGTTTCACCAAACTACAAATCCATGGAATAACAGTACTATAATTGTTTGGGGTGGATGGGTCCCAAATTTTACAGGGTTCTCTCTCACACACAGAATTATATATGTAAATTTAGAATTGCAGATCAGTTGCCACAGACCTACTTAATGATGTGCTTATTTCACCTAAATGAAGGTTAATTCAGGCATTTCCATTTAAATTGATTGAGGAAAAAGCTTCTAATCAGTAGGAATGTTTAGTCCCAGTCTTTATTTAGATTTGCTTGATAACTGGATAAATTTGTTTCCAGGCTCCTCTAAAGCAGTGTCCCACAATCTCAGTGCTACCAGGCTCTTGGACACCATTCCCATCATCCCTCTGGGGATGATGGGAGGAAGAATAAAATGCCTGGGACTCAGATTGAGAAAGGCTGCCTTCAAGAATCAATCAGAAAGGAAATTGGGTGTGCTCCCTTTATACCGTTGCCTAATCTGTTTAGACATCAGCTGCTCAGTAGCCGGGTGTGCTCAAGTTGGGCATAAACAAGCAAAAGTAAAATTTCCATAACTCGGTGTTGCATCGGACTTGGATACAATTTTTTTCTCACTGAATTGCATATCCTTGTACTATCTACAATACAGGTCAGAGTCTAGGACCTTTAGATGGTGTTCCTGTTGCTGTGAAGGATAACTTCAGTACAGCTGGAATTGAGACAACATGTGCGTCCCTTATGCTAAAAGGTAAAGTAATGTGTTTAAAATAAGCCAACACCCCAGAAGCTCTGCTCCTTAGTCTGTGAAAGAAAGAGAACAGTGTGCTTCTGTTCAGACTTGACATTATTCATTTACTGGCAGGAGAATATAACTGATGAGTAAATTGATTGGATGGTTTTTATGGAGCGATCTTAAATGTGCCTAAGAATGTGATGATGCAGCTGTATTTAACCCTGGTAGCTGTATTTTTCATGAGACTAATTATTTGCTGTATTTGGCACATTATGTTATTATAAAATAACCTCAGGTAGTATGCTGAACATGGTACTAAAATCCCAGTGTAACATTAGGCTTGCAACTGAGACCATCAGATATTGGGCCATTATCACATCTTTCAAGAATCAAACTGCTTTCCCACCTGTTTCTGAACACAATTTAAGCTTACTTTTATAGTCCTACACAGTTTGGGATTTGACAGATACCTGTTCCCATGTCCTCTTTCCTATGCACTGCAGTGAGCAATGGAGGTTTTCCTCCAGGTGTCCTCCATATGATATTTGGTGATTACAAAGAGGCCTTTTGTTATGATGTGGCCCTCTTACGGACAATCCTCCCTAGATGTGCTCCCCTAGTCTTCTCATCAAGCGTCTTTATGTTCCCATTTGGGTTTTAAAAATCCTGGGTTCCTTCGCTCGCTGCTTCTGTTATAACATTTGTTTGGCAGCATTGTGCTCATTTTTTTGTTTGCATATATTTTTATAATGAACTACCTTTCGAGCCGTTTGGCTGAAGGTCATAACAAAATATGCCAAATGTTGTAGCTCATATCATATATAATGGCTAAAACAGATTGCTGAGAATTCTGAGTTAATATTCATGAACATGTTGACCATTTATCCCTTCTTGGCTCGCCATACCAACAGGTGTAGCTGAACTAACCAGGAAAATGACCCTATTAAATCTAAAACCCTGAGGAAACTAGGAAAGGAAAAAACCATTTCAAACTCTAGCTTCAAATTCTGACTTGTTAGGGAGTAAAAAAAAAACAGGATTCTGGTTAGGGTAATAGAAAGTTTTTATTTTCTTAGTTTATCCTAGTTAGCTAAGATATTGCCCCCAACAAATTACCATATCAGGCTTATTGATTTGTCCAGACATGCCCCATTCTTCAGCCAATTCTCTTTCCATTTTCAGGATATGTCCCCCCTTTCAATGCAACAGTTGTCCAGAAATTACTGGATCAAGGAGCTATACTTCTTGGAAAAACAAACCTAGATGAATTTGCTATGGGGTAAGTTGACTTAAAAACAATTAAGATCTGACCATGTGATACTTGCAATATGCTTCGCTTCTTTTTAACTATACAGTTATTCAGGATTTGGCCATACGAAGCAAGGGATTCTGGGAATTATTCTGTCGCAGAGGCATGATAGATCCTTTTTGCTTCATTGAGCCCCTTTACTTCCAAGACAAAAAGGCATTCCCTTCCACACTGCCCCTATATCCCAGGATCAGATCCCAGGGTATCTCTTTTTCTCCCAGGTTATCTGGCAGTGGGGACTCATAATCCAGTTTAAAGCAGATAATCTGGGATCAGATCCTGGGATATAGGGCAGTGTGGAAGGGGCCTTAACGAGGATGGATTATTAAGGCCTATCCTGTGATTTTAGGAGGAATTTGTCATACTATTTCAACCTGTTTTCAACTTCTGTCAGTAGAGGTTTCCCTTTTAGTAAAGGAAACAGATAGCTAGCTGGAAAAGGTTTTGCATTCAGTACCAGTTTCTGTAATTCTATGAAACTAGATTTTTACTAGATTTTTACTTTGCTGGTTAGGGATGATGCCAGTTTCAATCCAACAATATCTGGAGGGCCACATGTTTCCAAGTTCAGAAATCCCACTGTATAAAATAGAGCCAGCAGGTGTATAGGTGTTATTCCCAACACTATAGGGTTGCAGCATGCTATAAACTATGATAGCTGTAGACATCGTTAACTCCACAATTCAAATCTAAAATGCTAAATTCCCCAGCTGTTCTCCAGACCATCCAATGGCTAAAGAATAAAACATGTTGAAGGGCTCCAGTTTGTTCATCTCTCATTGAATTCCTTAATGTGTAACATCAGGACTGATGGGCCTTTATGATTCATTTTTAAGTAAAGGTTTAAAGAGAAAAAAGGATGGCTTATAAGCTGTCTTCTTGCTTCCTAACAATTTCTCTTCTTAGCTCAGGGAGTACAGATGGAGCCTTCGGACCAGTTAGAAACCCCTGGAGTTACTCTCGACAGTACAAGGGGAAATGCCTGCAAAACCCTAAGGCTCAAAATGAAGACGGCAACTGGTTGATAACTGGTGGGAGCTCAGGAGGCAGTGCTGCTGCAGTGTCATCTTTCACGTGCTTTGCGTAAGAGACTTAAGAGCAGTTTCATTATTAATAGCATTTGATTAGTACCGGTAAGATATTAGCATCCTTATCACATTACACTGTTACAGCACTATATTCCACTTTAAATGCCATAGCAACATCCTGTGGAAGCCTGGAATTTGTAGTTTAGTGAGGCCCAAGAAAGTTTACTGATTATTCGAAAGGCCCCTCCTTAAATTGCAAATCCCAGGATTCCATAGGACAATACTGTGGTTATTATATGTTTTCAATGGTTTTTGTATTGTATTGATTTTATATTGATTTTATAATGCTGTTTTAAATATTTTAATTGTATATTGTGGATTGTTATGGCATCGAATTGCTGCCAATTTGTAAGCTGCCTTGAGTCACCTTTGGGCTTGAGAAAGGCGAGATATGTCGCAAATAAATAAATAAATGCTATGGTAACTGAAGAAGAACATAACACTATAGAAATATAGTATGATATGCTGCTAAGTACTCCACAAAGCTTAGAAGCTTTGTTAAGCAGCCAAACCCAATGGGTGCTCAGCAATGGTTCCACTTCATCCTGGAAAGAAGTGACGAGTGGGGTGCCGTAGGGTTTGCTCCTGGGCCCAGTTGTGCTCAACATCTTTATTAATGACTTGGATAAAGGTTTAGAGGGCATGTTCATCAAATTTGCAGATGACACCGAATTAGGAGGGATAGCTAATACTCCAAAGGACAGGATCAGAATTCAAAATGGCTTTAACAGATAAGAGAGCTGGGCCAAAACTAACAAAATGAATTTCAACAAGGAAAAATGTTGGATACTACTACAGTTAGGCAGAAAAAATGCAAAGATACAGAATGGATGGTGCCCAGCTTGACAACAGTCCATGTGCGAAAGATCTTGGAGTCTTAGTGGACAACAAGTTAAACATGAGCCAACAGTGTGATGTAGCAGCTAAAAAAGCCAATGAAGCAAGGGAAGTCATGGTGCCTCTCTATTCTGCTTTGGTTAGACATCACCTCAAATACTGTGTCCAATTCTGGGCACCATAATTTAAAAGACATATTGACAAACTGGAAGGTGTACAACAGAGGGCAACTAAAATGATCAAAGATCTGGAGACCATGCCCTATGAGGAACGTCTTAGAGCTGAGTATGTTTAGCCTGCAGAAGAGAAGGCTGACATGATAGCCATGTATAAATATGTGAGAGGATGTCATAAGAAAGAGGAAGCATGCTTGTTTTCTGTTGCCCTTGAAACTAGGACTCAGAGGAATGGGTTCAAATTACAGGAAAGGAGATTCCACCTGAACATTAGGAAGAACTTCCTGACCATTCAAGCTGTTCAATGGTGGAACTCTCTGCCTCAGAGTGTGGTGGAAGCTCCTTCCTTTAAAACTTTTAAACAGAGGCTGGGTGGTCATCTGTCAGGGAAACTCTAATTTTGCTTTTCCTGCATGACAGGGGGTTGGACTAGATGGCCCATGTGGTCTCTTCCAACTCTGTTATTCTATGATTCTATAATTTACAGTGTGCTCTATACACATAGGTTAACACTTACAAGGAGGAGTGAGAATGGGGTAAAGCACTCTGAGGTTTAATGTATTGTCAAAGGCTTTCATGGCCAGAATCACTGGGTTTTTGTAGGTTTTTCAGGCTATATTACCATGTTCTAGAAGCATTATCTCCTGACATTTTGTCTGCATCTATGGCAGGCATCCTCAGAGGTTGTGAGGTCTCTTGAAAACTAGGAAAGTGGGGCTTATATATCTGTGGAATGTCCAGGGTGGGAGAAAGAACTCTGGTCTGTTGGAGCTAGGTGTGAATGTTGCAGTTGGCCACCTTGATTAACATTTGATGGCCTGACAGTTTTTAGGTGTGGCTACTGCCTGGCAGAATCCTTTGTTGAGAGGTGATTAGCTGTTCCTGATAGTTTCTTGTCTGGAGTTCCCCTGTGTTTGAGTGTTGTTCTTTATTTACTATTATAATTTTAGAGTTTTTTAAATACTGAGGTTTGTTTTTTTCATGTGCCAATAGGATATGCCATTTTGTGCTGCTGGGAAAGAATTTGTTGTGACAATGTGGAGGAAGGGATGTAACTGATAACCTCAGCCTCCCTTCTCAGTACTATGGGATTAACAACATATCCAGCTCAAGCCCAGTCAGAACAAAAGGATTGGGTTCTATGAAATTTTACAAAATCTCCTTCTGTGCAGTGAAATCCCCTTTCATCCCAGGCTTTGATCTGACATCCATGTTCAGATACAATGGCTTTTCAGACTAACACTGTGCAAATATAGGACTGTTTCCTACATTTCTGAGCTATACCAACACTGTTACCATATTTTTTTAAAAAAGTAGTAAAAAAGTAAAAACCAGGAAAACAAAGTGAACCACAATAGGATTTCTAATTTTGACAGCAGAACCAAATTTTCTGCCCTCAGACTGTTATTGGAAGTGATCGACTTCAGTTCTGAAAAGAAGTTCTGTATGTAAGCTTCATGACGCAAAGAAGTCCAGGAAGAAAAATGATGTGTACCATGGAAACTGTACCTGTTCAGTTTCTTACAGATCTAATAGGCACCTTTGGCATAACTGAATGTTACAAATTCAGAGCAAATAAGGGGTTTGCTCCTAATTGCCACTGTTTGTTCTTCAACCGCAGGGCACTGGGTTCTGATACAGGCGGATCCACCAGAAATCCAGCTTCTCTCTGTGGAGTTGTCGGGTTGAAGCCAACCTATGGCCTAGTTTCCCGTCATGGTCTTATTCCACTTGTTAACTCTATGGATGTACCGGGCATTTTAACAAGATGTGTAGACGACTCAGCCACCATATTGGGTATAAAATGTCTATCTTTCTCTCAGTGTCTCAATCCTGATTTAATCCCTTGACATACTCTACTGGTCTCTTCTCTATACCTTATAAGGTTTATAATTATGTATATTAGGTATCCTTGGTGGCCATGATCTGAAAGACTCTACGACCGTGCAGGACCCCTTTCAGCCGTTTCAGCTGCCCAGTTTGACAGAGCTGAAAAATCTTTGCATAGGCATACCAAAGGTAAGTGGCATGTAAGTGTCGGCATGGGAGAAAATAAATCAAGCTACACTGAATATTTATATTCCACTCTTTTTATCATGAGATCTCAGGGTACCATAGAGATAACACAATACAAACAGTTTAAACTATTCCAAATTAAAATCAGTAAATAAACATGATAAAAGCACATTGAACAGCTCAAACAAAACAACATGGAGAGTTTTAAAAAAAACATACACAGTAAGACCCCCGTATCACCTGGACAGGTATCTGTGGTTTTATTTATCCATGTCCAACAACATATGTCCCTTATAAGTATTTTCTAGGTCCTTTAGCACAATTCCCTAGTATTCTTGGGACAAAAGTCCTTTATTTTCCTGCTTCTTGGCAGAATGGGGTTGGACTGAATGACCCACAAGGTCTCTTTCAACTCTGTGATTCTATAATTTCAATAGGGTTCACTATTATCTGTAGTTTCCCATATCCATGAAAAGTCTAGGAACAGAAGTTGGCCACAGAGTCATGCTGGAAGACCTAGAAATTCCTAGAGAGAGAGAGACTCAGGTAAAAAAAACTTTATTCACAGCTTTCCACTTTCGTGGGGATTCTGTGCACCCAGTCCCAGCAAATTTGAAACTCCTGATAAGCATGTCTGTGTGTTGTAGGGAACTATATTCATATTCTAAATATCTGGGTCCAAAGGTCTGTTGATCATTTTTGTTAAGCAGTTCCTAAATAAAGCAAAGAAAATAAGCTTTACCATCCCTGTTAACTGCTATGTATCATATCCAGTAGTCATGATTACCAATTAAATGGCAACAATACTGGAATAGGACTTTTGTTCTATTTTGAAGAAACATAAACACAGTAGTTACTCTGGGGAGCAGAGGTATTCTTTAATCCTGAATATGGAATGGGGCCGTCTATGAAATAAGTGAACGCCAAAGAAGGTGCAAGTCTACTGAGGAGCGCCTTTGTAGTTATTGAATAATCCTCAGTTTGCACTTGAGGGAAATAGCAGAACATCTTTTTGCCAATGAGTTCCTAGTCAGACATTCTACATTGCAGTGGGACTTAAAGTCATTTCCGACTTATAGCAATGATAAGTAAAGGTAAAGGTTTCCCCTAACATTAAGTCTAGTCGTGTCCGACTCTGGGGGTTGGTGCTCATCTCCATTTCTAAGCTGAAGAGCCGGCGTTGTCCATAGACACCTCCAAGGTCATGTGGCTGGCATGACTGCATGGAGCGCCATTACCTTCCTGTAGAAGAGGTACCTATTGATCTACTCACATTTGCATGTTTTTGAACTGCTAGGTTGGCAGAACCTAGGACTAGCAGAACCTAGGACTAACAGTGAGTGATCACCCTGCTCCCCATATTCGGACCACTAACCTTTTGGTCTGCAAGTTCAGCAGCTCAGCAGTTTAATCCACTGTAACTCATAATTCTGGTTCCCTCATCTCATCCCAGTCATGGTCAACTTGCTGTCCTGTGAAGTTCGGCACTGAGTTTGTAACTAGATTCACACTAGTTAAAAAAAAAACCTGCCACATAAAAAGAGTGAGGGAGAAATTTCATGTGCATATCAGAAGTTTGTGTTAACCCTCCATGACCTACTTGAATACTTCTTAATGTTCCAGTCGAGATATTAATTATAAAATGCATATGAGGGGTTTGTCTCCAAAAGGTACCAAATCCAAAAAAGTGAAAAATGAATTATAGATGGCAGCCCATTGTTGGCTAGAAGTAGAATATTATGTACAAATCAAAACTAGCAAAATGTAAATCACTTTGGTACAGGGTTGGTAGCCAAAGAATGCATATCCTCAGCATGTTCTCTTTTTCAATTCCTGAAAATTTGTTTAGATGGATTTGGTTCCTTTTGGAAACAAGCTCCACATATATGCATCCACTTTGCATATCTGTGTATACAACTATGTTTCCCCCCCCTTTATCCCCCCCCCCAAGGAATACAATGCACCGGGACTGTCCCGTGAAACACTGATGCTCTGGTCCAAGACAGCTGACCTTTTTGAGAAAGCTGGTGCCAATGTGGTTGAGGTGAGCCTCCCCCACACCTCTTACTCCATCGTCTGTTACCACGTTCTGTGTGCAGCAGAAGTAGCATCAAACATGGCTCGGTTTGATGGTTTAGAGTACGGTAAGTGCTTTGCTGCAAAGGATTTCTTGCAAAAGAGATACAAATTCATTTCCTAGAATTCCAACATAATAAAAACCTTGTTAAGAAGGACAACTGCAGTGTTGTGCCATAAAATACTCTTTATATTTGGCAGCTCCTAAGCTGTGTAAGATCTGCTGAGCTTCTAGAATTGATCTCTCTGAGTCCCCCTTTTCCCACTGTCGTTGCCCCTTCAGCTCTCATTGGTGTTTATGGTGTTTGTTGGCCTCCATCATACTTGCCTTCATGTTTCCATCTGATTCAGTTCAGGCACACACACACACACACACACACATATATATATATATGACCTTGTGCAGGACCATAAGGAAACATGGCAGAGAGAACTGATAGTCAACTGGTGGAAGCTTCAGAAGTGATAGCTATGCATATATTATGATTTCAGATCATTTGTAGACTTGGGATAAATGGAAAACTGGTGGAGGGTGCAAGTGCAACACTACTTGTGTAGTTTAAGGGGTATTACTTAAAAGAGAAGCACATTTCCCTGCAAAATTCCAGTGCAGTAACTTTTCTTTCGCCTTCCTCACACCCAATTTTGTCCAGTGAAATTTCCAGTGGGCAGAGTTGATTAACTCAAGGGCTTGGGCAGACGCCTTGGAATGTGTAATGTTCAACCAGATCAGTCCTTGTATAGTTATTAATCCCTACTATCCTGATGTTTGAAATCACAGCAGAAAGGGGAGTAATGGTTGTGAAAGTGAGTGAATAGTGGACCACTTTCAGAGGGAATGTCCAATGAGGCCCAGTGCAAGTCTTTTCTTGCTTAGCGTGGTCCAGAGTGTACCTGAGCTGATTCTGGGAATACAGGTTGCTTGGCACAGTGACAGTAGTATTTTACGCAGGAATGGTTGGTTTCTGGAGTTGGCAAACAGAACAGTTTCTCTAAACATAGAGCGAAGAATGAGCCATGCCCAGGAGCTATCATTTTTGGACTGAATAGCCCATTCAGAAAGGGATTGTGTGTTTGTAACTGGACAGGAGTTCAAAGAATGATGATTGATAGAAAGCTGGTTAAGCCCTGCACCAGGCAAGAATATTACACATTCAAACAAATTCACAAAAGCACCAGGCAAATCTTGATTCACTCCAGAGCAGGCCACCCTCACAAAAACCAAGTGTGTTCAAAACAAACAGATTTGGAGAACAGGATGGGGTTTTGAAAAATCTTGGTCATTCTAGGTAGGTACACCTGTCTTGCGAGTCCCAACAGCTAGCCTGAACTCATTTGCGTCAATGGAGATCCAGGAATGATGTCAGAAGAAGGGCACAACATGCCCCAGTGCTAATTCTGAGCCATCGTTTCTGATGAGCTTTTTAATTACAGAAAGATTAGGTCTTTTACAAAGCTCTGAAGAGTCTCCTACTGACCTCAGCAAAGTCTGTTGGTGTATGAAGTTAGTTTTTTCATTATTCCTGGGAATGTGTTTTTGTTATGAGAAAAATGTTGTCTCAGCTGTGTCCTCTGAAGAGTGTGCTCCGGCTGCAGTGCAAAATACACACATTGTTCAGCTGGATTGTCGGTCTCCGCTCAAGGTCAACTGGAGTGGGAAGACAGTGTCATTGAAATACCTCTGCACTTCCTGATCAAACACAATGGGTTCTGTTCCATATCGCGCTCCCCTGTACCTTTCAATGAACTTTTTGCAGGGCCAAATTCACTACAGTTGTGTACTTCCACACCTCGACTCCCAAATTCCTGATTCCTGTTTCCGTCATTTTAGAGTAGACACAGCTGGGTCTGGGCGGGGGAGAGGGAAATAACAAAGCTAGGTCATCCTCCCTTGATATATGAAACATTCCCATCAGGGCATAAAATAATTTGCCTCTCTTAGTGATACAGTAATTCCAACATAGGTTGATGTTTGTAATATTGATATGTAATTTCAATAATGATGAAATTTCATCAGCCTAAATGACAGTGTTATGGCACAACAGTTTTTAGGATATATATATATATATATATATATATATATATGTCACATTTATTTTCAATTAATAAAACAAGTTCTGAAGATAAGAGCTTCCTCATCCAAATATGTAATTAATGTTGAATAAATGAAATTTAAAGAAGACATTTTAGGTCTACTGTGAAGTGTTTTAGGTATGTCAATAGGTTTTAGAGCAGTGTTTCCCAACCTTTTTTGACCAGGGACCATTTGACCAGGGATCACTCTCCAACATTAGGACCAAAAGGGTTATGAATCGGTTTTTGCTCAAATTTAGATTCAATTTGGTTATTTGGGGTGCTGATTCAGAAAATTGCATTGGATAAACCACACACAGAACATATATCATCCAGTAGTCGCAATATGCTCACCCACAGAAAGCCATATTTAATAAACCTTGGCACTATAAGAGGATTTCTCGAGACCAATTGCTCTTGTTGCAACGGTGTAGAAATGGTGAGGCCACAGACCATATTTTAGTTCTTGTGGACCACTGATAGTCCACGGACTACAGGTTGGGAACCACTGTTTTAGAGAAATGCAGTGGTTAGAAATTATTATTATTATTATTATTATTATTATTATTATTATTATTATTGGATGGCCATATTCAGATTTAGATGAGATATGAATAACCCTCTTTCAGAAGCCCTGTTTCTTGCATAAGAAACATGCTAAGAATTTCATTTCATTTAGCTATACGGGTTGATCACATCCAACTTTTGTTAATGGCTTCTAAACAAGCCAGGATCTGAAGTCATGGTTTAATGTTTGCTTTTGAATCACGGCTTGTTTAGAGTAATTGCCTATCGTTCCAGGTTTATTTCTAACACAAATCTATAATCAGTTGTGGGTCTCTGGCTCATGTATGTGAATAGGAAAATATTTTGTGCACAAAGCTCAGCAATATCTTAAAGTAGATTTTGTTATCAAAAAGTACCATCTCTAAAAATGACATAGGTAATAGCAGTATCTATAACAATGTAATAGTTTAAAATTACCTTCAGAAGTCACAAAGGCTCTAAAAATTTCAGATCATAAATGTTATCGCCTGTCCTGACTGAATTTTATTAGTTCGAATAAAGAGCATGAATAAGATAATTTCTGGGAGATTCTAGGGCACAGATCCAGATGAGTTTTCCCTGTGTTTGTGTCTCCAGATAGTTCACAAATGCACTCGAGCTGAGCCTCCCAGGGGTCAAAAAGCAATGTTAGCAAAATAATAATAATAATAAATAAATCCAAAAACTTCATTCCACTAGGGGGCATAGAGGACATTTCCACCATATTTTGTCGTTGGAAAAACAAAACATACCACTTAGGAGCATTTAGGGGCACTTCTCACTTTTGAGATTCCCAAGGAATGCATCTACATTATAGAATTAATGTAGTTTGATACTGCTTTAACTGCCATGGCTCAGTGCTATGGAATTCTGGCTTTTGTAGTTTGGTGAGGCATCACAACTCTTTGGCAGAGAAGGCTAAAGGCCTTCTCAAACTACAGCTCACAGAGTTTCATAGAATAGGGTCCTGGCAGAAAAATTGTGTCAAACTGCATTAATTCTACAGTGTAGATTAGGCATGGGCAAACTTCACCCTACTGGCTGTTAGGAATTGTGGGAGTTGAAGTCCAAAACCCCTGGAGGGCCAAAGTTTGCCCATGCTTGGTGTAGATGCACCTAGAGTCTCATCGGGGGTTGATGCAACCCCTAGCTTTCCATAGTTGCCAATCCTTGCTCCAGGGGGACATTTTTTGCTAGAAATGTTCAGGCAGGAAACTCCAATTAATCTTAAATCTGAATAACTGCCTCAGCTGCTTTTGGGGCCCGTGAGGAAATCTTAATTCTTTATCCAGATTGTCTTATGTTTGGCCATATGCAATGGGAGCAGGCAAGCTGCACTAAACTTCCATGATTTATTCTGTTGTTATATCTGTTGTCTATTCATGAGGCAGTTGTGAATGGTTTTAGGATGTGTTTCCAAAATGCTGGTGACTTCTAATTTTAGGACATCGGAGCAGTGTTGACAAATCAACTGAAGCCTTGTATGCAGCGACACGCAGAGAAGGCTTTAATGATGTTGTAAGGGGAAGAATTCTATCAGGAAACTACTTCTTGCTAAAACAGTAAGTTCAGCACATTTCGAAGCTTGAACTCATGAGGCCAGCATTTTATTTGTTGTTCAGTTAAGGGTGACATTACTCATGTTGGACAGATTTTTCCACCTAGTTAAGGCATTATTATTATTATCGCTGATACTGCTGCAGCTGTAACAGAGAGCAGCAAACATTGTTTTCCTAAAATGCTGCATAATTTAGTATTTTGACATTCTCCCTGTCTCCCTTCACCTCCTTTCCTATGTTTCTACTTATCTGCAAGGTCACTTTACTTCTAAATGATCTGTATCCGTGCTTTTGCCACTATTTTTGTTTGGGTGGGTTATCAGTTTTTAATAATAGATAATTTATTTATTAGCATTTAATTCTCCTTGAAAGAAAATGGCATAGAACTAAGAAGCAGAGAATGCCTTGAAAATATTCTCAAAACAAATTACAAGTAAATGTTGCAATTACACAGAGGTCATTATCATTTATCTGTACCTGAATCTCCAGCCTCAAAAGTACCTGCTACTTCCATACTCTGTGCCACACTAAACCTTGCCTTGAAAATCTACAAGAAAAGAGACCACAGCTTCAACTGGATAGCTTTTCTATCAAACTGTAATGATTTTTAACAAAATATTGAAATAACTAGTTTCAGCTTTCTTCTGTTTTTTTGTAAGGTGTACCATAAGCTCATATAACATAGTGGCACTGCACAACAGTTCCTATATCAGTCCTGTTTTGCATGTTTTATTATGCACTCATCCGGATCTTTAGAATGGGGTCAGCTATGGGCCCCCTGCTGTTGCAGTGGGTTAAACCGCAGAGCTGCTGAACTTGCTGACAGAATAGTTGATGGTTCGAATCCGGGGAGCAGCATGAGCTCCTGCTGTTAGTCCCAGCTTCTGCCAACCTAGCAGTTTGAAAACATGCTAATATGAGTAGATCAATAGGTACAGCTTCTGCGGGAAGGTAACGGCACTCCCTTCAATCATGCCAGCCACATGACCTTGGAGGTGTCTATGGACAATGCCGGCTCTTTGGCTTAGAAATGGAGATGAATACCAACCCCCAGAGTCGGGCACAACTAGACTTAATGTCAGCAGAAACCTTTACCCTTACCTTTATGGATCTACGGTGGGCATGGGCAAACTTTGGCCCTCCAGGAGTTTGGACTTCAACTCCCATAATTCCTAACAGTCTACTAGTTAAGATCACTCTGACCAAAAGGTCATGAGTTCGAAGCCAGCCCGGGTTGGAGTGGGTCTCCAACCATTGTGTAGCCTGTTGTCGACCTTTGCAACCCAAAAGACAGTTGCATCTGTCAAGTAGGAAAATAAGATACCACCTTAAAGTGTGGGGAAGCTAAATTAACTAATTTATGAGGCCATAAAAAAGACTCTAGCAAAAGCATGCGGAGAATGTGGAAGTACTTCATCAGTGTCGCAGATGGACGATGAAAGCGACAGCTCCCCTGGCAGCCAGAAAAAGTTAAATAGCCTCTGTCTATGTCTGTATATGTTGTATGTCAAATTGGCATTGAATGTTTGCCATATATGTGTACACTGTAATCCACTCTGAGTCCCCTGTGGGGTGAGAAGGGTGGAATATAAAAGCTGTAAATAAATAAATAAATAAAACACCTGGAGGGCTGAAGTTTGCCCATGCCTGATCTAAGGGAATAATCCTACATTCCTGGGGATGGTTGCCTAGAAGTAAATCCTATTGAACCATGAACCTTTGTACTTGTATGGCAGGCAACTGCACTTGATTCTCAAACCCCAGAAAATATAAGTAAGTTTTCATAGCGCTTATTTGAGATGAGCAATACTGATAAGTGCCCATGAAGTTTGAAATGAAATCTGGTCTGCTCTCTTGAGAATGAGCAATGGTTATAATCTGCATATTATCTATCTTCAAAAAGGTCCATATAGTGTTGTGATGCTTTGAACCACAGGGTTGGGTTTATTAGCAAACTCTGGAAATTTTCCATTTATGCCCACCCCCATCCTATAAGGCTATAAGGTGGAAATAATGACTCATTTTTCTGTTTCCGGTTCTCACTGACCTTTCCTTTTACTTCTGCTCCTAGAAACTATGAGAAATATTTCCTCAAAGCCCAGAAAGTAAGAAGGCTCATTGCCACTGATTTTTCAAAAGTTTTCAGTTCTGGGGTTGATGTTTTGCTCACTCCCACTACTCTCAACCACGCTGTGCCATACAGAGAGTTCATCAAAGAAGACAACAGGACCCGCAGTACACAGGACGACATTTTCACTCAGGCTGCCAATATGGCTGGTAAGCAAAATGTGCCCATTGCTAACGATATCTTTTATTTCTTCAATTGGTCATTTTCAGGCAGTCATCAACATTTTTCTTCAGGAACACAGGAGGGATCTAATTAGCAAGATGTGATGACCCATTTATTTAAAAAGAGAGCTGATAACATCTGAATTAGAACATCAGTCGAATCTGATTTGAAGCCACTTTGTGTGCCTGTTCACCTCAGAAACAATATATCTGCCAGGAATTGTTGCTGGGTGCTTTCAAGTCATATCTGAGTTACGGCAACCCTAAAACAAATCTATCAAGAAGGTTATGTTTGTAAGGTTTATTCAAAGAGGGTTTGTCATTGCCTCCCTCTGAGGCTGAGAATGCGTAATGTGGCCAAGGCTTCCATGGCTATGTGGGATTTTGAACCCAGAGCCATGGTCCCACACTCAAACTACTTCACAACACTGGCTCTCCTGAAAATTATACAGAGCATATAAATTGGGCTTGATATTTGGGCAATTTGTTGTTGTTTATTCTTTCAGTCACTTTCGACTCTTCGTGACCTCATGGACCAGCCCACGCCAAAGCTCCCTGTCAGCCATGGCCACCCCCAGCTCCTTCAGAGTCAAACCAGTCACTTCAAGGATCCCATCCATCCATCTTGCCCTTGGTCGGCCCCTCTTCCTTTTTCCTTCCATTTTCCCCAGCATCATTCTCTTCTCCAAGCTTTCCTGTCTTCTCATTCAGTGGCTAAAGCACTTCATCTTTGCCTCTAATATCCTTCCCTCCAGTGAGCAGTCGGGCTTTATTTCCTGGAGTATGGGCTGGTGGATCTTCTTCTGGTCCAAGACACTCTCAAAATCTTCCTCCAACACCACAGTTCAAAAGCATCTATCTTCCTTCGCTCAGCCTTCCTAATGGATTTAGGACACTTTATTGCATCCTTTCACAGAATTTGCTTCTATTAGCTTGACAGCATTCTAAATCTAGTTTGGCCTTTCCAAAAGTTTCAACCATTAACTATAGCTACAAATGATGGACGCTGGCTGGTTTAACATTAAAACGGGAAGCTGGAAATGGCCCAAACTTTATTTTAGGAAACAGCAAGTATCCTGTTCTATGCTGAATATGTATCTCTTGTCTGTTACCAAGGGGATGACTGGAAGAACAGTTCAAGTATTAATGTTTGAATCAAATAGTAATAAGGTTGTTATGAGACAGGAAGCCTCCTCCGGTTTATCGTGGTTATTTTCACTTTAATTGGCTTTGCCATATGGTCTACCTCTTGTTGACACTTCTTCCCACATAAGTGACAGATGGGTATTTGTTGTCATCTCAGTCATGATGAGTTGAACCAGGAATCTTGCTCTTCTTCAGAATCTTGGTTAAGATTCTTGGTTTGCTGTGCGTTTTTCGGGCTGTATGGCCATGTTCCAGCAGTATTCTCTCCTGACATTTCGCCTGCATCTGTGGCTGGCATCTTCAGTGGTTCTTATTCTTCTTGTTTCTAAACAAAGACCACATCAGAGTCAGAACTGCTCCCAGTCCATAAAAAAACACAACTTAGGTAATGCTAGATGCTTTTTTGCAGTAGTCTAAAAATAAAGGAAAAAGCACAGAAACATAACTAAAACTTTTTGTGCCTTGTTCTTATCACATGAGCATGAGGTGAAGGAAATGTACTTTTTCACCAAAGGTTATAAGTGCATTGTTTCCTATTTACATTCTGTCTCACTGCACACCATTGACAGGAACATATGATTAGCTAATGTTGTGTGGTAGGTACAGTAATTGATTTCAGAAGAGTTTACACCCAGCAATTAAATATCAATATAATTACTTTGTCTGCATAAAGTTTGGATCTGTGGTTTTTTAAAACCCACATGGCAATGAGAAATTCAATGACTGAGGTCCTCGTGGTCAAGAATAGCATATGTTCCATATCCCGCCATTGTCACAGGCACGATTGGTGGGGATGAGAGACAGGGCCTTCTCGGTGATTGCTCCCCGGCTATGGAACTCCCTTCCTGGTGAGCTCAGGTTGGCCCCCACCCTCCTGTCCTTTAGAATGATGGTAAAAACTTGGCTTTGGGACCAAGCTTTTGGGACAGGACAATGAAGTGGCAGTGGGAAAGATGTCAGGGCCAATTGGATTTGATGCAGATGGCTAGGACGGTTTTAAATGGTGTTATTTTAAATGGTGTATTTTAATATTTCGATAAATGGTTTTTAATGTTTATGTATTGTATCCAGCCATTGAATGTTTGCCATGTATATGCTGTGCTCCGCTCTGAGTCCCCTTCGGGTTGAGAAGGGAAGAATATAAATGTTTTAAATAAATAATAGTAAATAAGGAACTGTGCTATGGCTCCCCTGTCACCACTCCAGTGCTCACTCTACGGCAGACATAGGCAAACTTCAACCCTCCTGGTATTTTGGACCTCAACTCCCACAATTCCTAACAGGAATTGTGGGAGTTGAAGTCCAAAACACCTTCGGACCTGAAGTTAGCCCATGCCTGCTCTATGGCAATTCAGTTGTTGGTGGAGACCATTGCTGTTTGGTTGGGTGTGGGTAACTGTATCTCAAAGAAGTGTCTGTACATCTTCTGCTGAGACCAGCAGATGCTGCCAAAAGATGTCTTTGCTGTTCATCTGGTTTGGGATATTACCATTGACTTCTCCTATTGCTCTCCCCACATCAGCAAACAAATGTGTGTGTGTGTGTGTGTGTGTATGTGTGTGTGTGTTGGGGGGATATTCCAACATAATGATGAGTCTTATGGAATTTTGGACATTATAGAGGGAAGGGAATACCAGCCTTTACACATACAGCCAAGACACATATGCAAGCATAAAATGGATTCCACTTGTGAATATTAGTACTGTATTAGGGTCGTTGTGTTTAAAGGTCTTCCCATCAACCAACTCCTGTGGTGATTCATTGGTGAAAAATGAATGTATTCTATTCTCAGAGAGTTGAAATGAATATCTTGTTCTTACCGTGGGAAGAAATAAAACATGGATTGTTCTTAAGGGACATATTCATGGTAGCTATGCAAAACAGTCATAGATTGACAGTGGTTAGTAGTTACAACACTGTTTTTAAAAGACTTCCAAACATTGGGTGATAGGGAAAGCTGCTAAGATGAACACTTAAATTAAAATGTAAACTTTCACTGAAACATCAAATAAAAGACCATCATATCGATCAGATGACTTGACTTTTAGACACAGGAGGTTGGCATTCAGGTCAGAGTTCAGTTCAAATTTCATTGGATAATGTGTTGTCAAAAGCTTTCATGGCCGGAAACACTGGGTGGCTGTGAGTTTTCTGGGTTGTATGGCCATGTGCCAGAAACATTCTCTCCAGAATTCGAATATTGATGACTAAGGACAGGAAACTTGGACAACGAACTCTGGATTGTGATTTTAACTCGAGCTATATGGGATTATTATTGGTGGCCCAATAATTTGTTATTGTATGTGTATATGTTTTTAAATTGTAGATTGTTTTAACTGCTGTAAACCGCAATGAGTCGCCGTTCCAGGCTGAGATATTAGCGGTATACAAGTGTACCAAATAAATAAATAAATAAATAAATAAAGAAGTGTTCTTTCCTGACTTTTCGCCCACATCTGTGGCAGGCATCTTCAGAGGTTGTGAGGCCTGTTGGAAACTAGGTAAGTGGGGTTTATATATTTGTGGAATGTCCAGGGTGGGAGAAAGAACTCTTGTCTGCTTGAGAAAAGTGTGAATGTTGCAATTGGCCATCTTGATTAGCATTTAATGGCCTTGCAGCTTCAAAGCCTGGCTGATTTTCTTTCTCCCACTCTAGACATTCTACAGATATATAAACCTCACTTGTCTAGTTTCCAACAGATCCCTCAACCTCTGAAGATGCCTGCCATAGATGTGGGCGAAAAGTCAGGAAAGAACACTTCTGGAACATGGCCCGGAAAACTCACAGAAACCCAGTTTCGTTTGATAACTTGGAAGTTGTTATTTCATGTCCATTAAAGGATTTGGATACAAAATAGTTTAAGTATAATTAAGTGAAGTAATGTGCCTAGTTGGCTATTGTGTAGAGAAGCTAAATAAATAAATAGTTGCCACGTGTATATATTTTTCTTGTGGTTTTGATATGAAATTACTTTAAAATGATGCAAGGCAATTTTTGTGTGTCTTTCAGGGCTGCCGGCTGTAAGTGTTCCTTCTGCCCTCTCAGAGGAAGGCTTGCCAATTGGGCTGCAGTTCATTGGCCGTGCTTTCCATGAGGCACAACTTCTTACAGTGGCCAAATGGCTTGAAAACCAAGTGCAGTTCCCTGCCATACAGCTAGAAAGGATAATGGATCATCTTGACCTTGTCTCTCACCAGGAACAGTCTGCATTTTATTCATGAAGCGTGACTGGAGGACTTATTCAGTAAAGAGGGCGGGAGGCGAGGGAGATTGTGGGGCATCCAAAGCATTGTGTTTTGAATGTAGGTGCAAGTGACAGCTTTCTGATTTAAGAGCTTTGAACAGAAATAGAAGCTCAAAGCCTCCAATATATTTTCTGTGCAATGAAATTGCCATGAGATGTGGAACTTGATTTTAGTTTCTGAATTATTTAATGAAATGCTTCTGCTTTTGCAATCACTATATTTCAGTCCAGAAGCACAAAAACTGATAATCAACACGGTATCTTACAAAGGAAGCTGCTTCGCCCAGTGTGCAAAGGTACAAGTCAGACAACCATCAGATGTGAGCCAAGCTACTTTTTGAAACCTAGACTTGCAAGCAAGACTTAAGAGAGACATATATCAACCAGGATCCAATATGGTACAATTCTTGCTTCCATCAGTAGAATAAGAGGAGCAAAATCCTTCTCTTCAATGCAGGCCCTTGTTCACATCCAGAATTTGCTCCAGAGCAACAGGGAATACCTCCACACAAACTTTTTTTGACCAGGGACCACTTGCCAACATTAGTACCAAAAGGGTTACGAATCAGATTTTGGTCAACTTTAGATTTGGTTTCATTATTTGGGGTGCTGATTCAGAAAATTACATTCAGTAGACCACATCAGCTCTAGTTTCTGATACAGAACATATGCTATCCAGTAGTTGCTAGCTGCTTACCCACAGAAAACCATATTTAATGATCTAGAACCGCAGCCCACAGGTTGGGAACCACTGCCTCCACCCATCCTGGCACCAAAATCCATTTTTTCAATGATGTGGAGGGCTGTGGGTTGGAAGAGAAGCTTCTATTAACGCTGGCAGACAGACACCACAGCATGTCATTTGGGGCAAAAGTGAGGCACTACTTTCAACCTGATAACTGAATTCTGTTTCAGATATATAACTGGAACCTGTATTGCATTATGTGATGGGGCTGTGAGCAAAAGAGTAGAACCTTAAAATCCCTGCATATTTGATCTTACTGCTAGAATCAGAACCTTGTTGTTGGGCTTTGGGTCATTTTTTTGGCAAGGTTTATCTAGAGCAGTGTTTCTCAACCTGGGGGTCGGGACCCCTGTGTGGGTCGCGAGGGGGTGTTAGAGGGGTCGCCAAAGATCATCAGAAAACATAGTATTTTCTGTTTATCATAGGGATTCTGTGTGGAAAGTTTGGTCCAATTCTATCAGTGGGGTTCAGAAAGCTATTTCATTGTGGGTGAACTATAAATAATCCCAACAATTACAACTCCCAAATGGCAAGGTCTGTTTTCTCCAAACTCTACCAGTGTTCACATTTGGGCATATTGAGTATTTGTGCCAAGTTTGATCCAGATCCATCATTGCTTGAGTCTACAGTGTTCTCTGGGTGTAGGTGAACTACAACTCCAAAAAACTCAAGGTCAATGTCCACCAGACCTTCCAAGTATTTTCTCTTAGTCATGGGAATTCTGTGTGCCCATGATTCAATTCCATCATTAGTGGAGTTCAAAAGGCTCTTTGATTTTAGGTGAACTATAAATCCCAGCAATTACAACTCCCAAATGACAAAATCAGTCTCCTCCCCTAACCCCACCAGTATTCAAATTTGGGGTTATCGGGTATTTGTGCCAAATTTGGTCTAGTCAATGAAAATACATCCTGCATATCAGATATTTAGATTACGATTCATAACAGTAGCAAAATTACAGTTGTGAAGTAGCAACGATAATAAAATTATGGTTGGGGGGTCACCACAACATGAGGACCTATACTAAGGGGTCGCGGCTTTAGGAAGGTTGAGAACCACTGGTCTAGAGGCATTTGCCTTTGCCTTCCTCTGAGGCCAGGTGAGTGTGGTTTCCTCAAGGTCATCCTCTGAGTTTCCATAGTTGAGCAGAGATTCAGAACTGACTTAACAAGATTTCAAAACAACTACAAGCAGTCCCCAAATTACCAACATGTTAGATTTGTTCTTAAGTTGAATTTGTAAGTCAGAACAGACACCGTACATATTTTTAAGTGTAACTCCAGCCAAAACTTTGGATAGCATAGGGAGGGATTGACACCCCTGTGGTGTTTGTTTTGCTTTTCTGTGCCCCTGTTATAAAGATTTTACCTCACTTTCTGCCCCAGTGACAATTGGATTTTTTAAAAAAGTAGCTTGCTGTGGAAACAAGGATTGGTGAGAAAGCGTCAGTGGAGACACCTTTTCCACATGGTAACTCTTTCAGGACTGAATTTCCCTTCAGAGGGGTAGATTTATTTATTTATTTATTTACCTTACTTATATACCGCTGTTCTCAGCCCGAAGGCGACTCACAGCAGTTCACAACAAATACGAACAGCAAAAATTCAGTGCTACAGTATAAAAACAGTTAACAACCTTACACATTACACAATTAATAAACAGTTACTACAATACCCATTCACTGTCGTCTCATCATCAAAAACATGTTCCAGATTCGTCATCCATTGTTCCATTCCAGTGTTCATTAACCAATCATTGCACTAATTATTGGAACGCCTGCTCAAACAGCCAGGTCTTCACTTTTTTGCGGAATACCATTAGAGATGGTGCTAGTCTAATGTCCGTAGGAAGGGCGTTCCACAACCGAGAAGGCCCTATCTCTCATCCCCACCAGCCGAGCCTGAGAAGCAGGCGGGATCGAGAGCAGGGTCTCCCCAGAAGATCTCAAAGTCCTGGTGGGTTCATAGGCAGAGATGCGGTCGGATAGGTAGCTTGGGCCGGAACCGTTTAGGGCTTTAAAGGCCAAAGCCAGCACTTTCTCTCACTTCCTGTAGTCTCACCTCTGTTCTTAACTGAGTCATTTGTAGTCAGATGTTTGTAATTCGGGGACTGCCTGTAGTCTTCAAATGCGCATGCTTATTTCAAAATAGGTCTCACTATTTTCACTGTAACCTTATTTAGCAAGAGTTCTCATTAATCCTGTTCCTGAATTTGAGATTTAGCACTGGCAAAACACACGGTAGTAATATGACAAATGGGCTAGTCTTGCATTATCCTTGCTTGTATTCCTTTCTCTGTTTTTAATTGGAGATTCCAGAAAACAGTGATTTGATTTCTTAGGCCACCATTGTGTCCCCCTCCCAACACAGAAACAGTTTATAGCATAGTTTTAATTGGCTTTTAAATCAACCTTGGACCAGCACTGACTAAATAGGAGGTGATGTGATCATTTTTTTGTTCTTAGCATCATACGTGAACACACACCATCTTTCAAGAAGCTCTTTGTCCTGGGAGCATTGATCACACACATCCAGGGTGCAAGTAATTAGAGTATGATGAAATGGTGTTTCATTGTAGGTGAAAATGAATCACTGAGAACACTAAAATCAACCTCATGAGAATAAGAGCTATTTACACAGTACATTAATCAACTTAAAAAATACCATTAGGTTTTCAGAATGGCATCTTAATTAAAAAGAAGAGGAATCCAGTTACAGCTAGTGAGAACTTATAGCAAATGACAGCAAAGCAAAGCAACTGTATTCAATAAGTCTATAACTGTAAAATGCATAACCTCTTGATTTCAATGGATTGTGTATGTATGACTGAGATGTCATTTCCTTACTGATATTTTAGCTAAATAATACCTGATAAAGGGACCATATATGCTTATGGAATGTAAGAATTTTCGTTCAGCAAAGGACAAGAGGGATCCTCTAACCACTGCAGGAATCTATCATATGTGTCAACTGTGAACAAGTTTACATAGATACCACCAAACGCAGCATTGCCCAAACATGAATCAAAGAACATAAATGGCACTGGAGACTTATTCAACCAGATAAGTCAGTGATAGAACACTTGATGAACAAACCTGGATGCAGAATATTATGTGAGAACACTGAAACTGTGGACCACTCTGACAATCGCTATGTCAGACAGCACAGAGAAGCCAAAAAAATCCACAAGCACGTGGACAACTTCAGCAGAAAGGAGGAAACCATGAAAATGAATAAAATCTGGTTACCAGTATTAAAAAAAAAACACCAGAATCAAGACAGTAAATAGGGAACACCACTCAGAAACAGGAGAACTCCAGACAGCAGTCAAGTGCCCGTTAACACCTCCCAAGCAGAGGATGCCTCCAGGCAACAAAGTCCAGACTACATCTATGCAGATACCCTCACTGATTGACTTCACAGCTTCATGGCTACTGAATGCTATTCAAGCCTGCTAATTGCAATGTTCATCTTAGCTTTAAACAGACATGGGTTCTTCCTCCCGCCCTGGACATTCCACAGATATATATGCACCCCATTTGCCTCACCTCCAACAGACCTCTAAAGATGCCAGCCACAGATGCAGGTGAAAAATCAAGAGAGAATGCTACTGGAACATAGCCATAGAGCCCAAAAAACTCACAGTAACCCAGTAATTCTGGCCATGAAAGCCTTCAACAACACATTGGGAAATATTTCTCTTTCAGATGTTTTGGGTGATATTTACCACATTTTCTTATCATTGGCCAACTAGAACTGATGCTAGTTGTTGGCCAACACTGTATGAATGGCAACAGTTCTCCATATCTTTAGTGCAGTAATACTAGAGCTTGTGGTCTTCCAGATACGTTGAGCTTTAGCCCCCAGAAGCTCCAGTCAGCAGCATAGCCAAAAGTCAGGGATTCTAGCAGTAAGAGTTCAAAATATCAAAAGGACCAAAATTATGCTCTGGGATGGATGGATTGAGAGTGCTATTTTTATGTAGTTCATTTCATATGTGAAACTGAATCTTAAATGTACAGCTTATATGCTGGTTGTGACACACGCACATCTATTCGATTGTGTTCTGGCTTTCTCTACCAAAATATGCAAAACTAAGTGATAACCAGGATACTTACAAGAAAAACAAACTTTCAACTCAATTCTTACTTTTTTAACTCAAAACAGAATGTGGGAAGAATCCCAAAGATGCAATTTACATTTTATTTCCTCATTACATTAGTTAAATGTTAAGATAGGACTACTCAGAAACAATCCTGTACCATAAAAGTGCTTAAATTATCTTCAGAGGCACATTTTTCTTAGGACTGTTGCCATCATAACATAAAGATATTACTCAACAAAATTATATATTATTATAATAAATAATAAAACTATTTATACCCCACCCTAACCCCCCGTAAGTGGTTTTCAACAAATATCAG